ACTGTCAGCTAGTCTGGAGTAAAGCAAACCCTGTTCTTTTAATGTGTTCTCAGCTGGCAGACAGCATTTTACAGAACAGGACATAAGCGGGTGTCTAGCCAGTATTACACTAAGTTTAGTTAATGGCTAATCTGGCATTTGTTCAACCATGCACTTCAAATGGCAAGACAGAGAAGGTGCATAAAAAGAAAAAAGACTAAGCTCTGTCTTCACCACCTCATTTATGTGGCTGATGGAAATGATAGCATATCAGAAGTGTCAGCATTCTAGTGAAAGCTGACATGTAAATATTTATGCATTATGCAAGATAGTCAAGCCCTGGCTGGCTGTCCTTTTCCATATTTCTAGCAATAACAGAAACTGCAGTTCAGATAAGAAAAAGCTATAAAGCTTTACATCACAGAACTTAAAACAATTTAAAATGGTCATTAATAAGAACCTGAACATGTAAAATGCTAAATGCTTCCAAGGTCTGAGTAACCTCAGTTATCTGAGAATAAAAAATACTCAGTGCTACTCAGAAGGACGTGGCTTCTTGCCAGATTACCTAGGAAACTATACATGAAGCTTTAAAATGAGAAATAAACCATGGCTTGAGTTGTAATAAATTTTGGTGCTTTATTTGGCTTTTCTGAAAATATGAAAACCAGATTATTAATAGTGCGCAGTTCTGATTTTTTTTATTCCCCTCCACCCGCCCCCAAACACACCTGCTTCCAGTTCCTTGTCCAGGTAGCAAAATCAGTTGGTAGCAACTGAAAAATATTTCCATCTGAGGATGATGCATGGGCCTTTGTACATGAGCTTAGAGGTATTAAGCAAGCTCCTAGCGTTGCAAGCTTGCCAGCACAACCGATGCTCACTGGCAACTCTATCAACAACCACAGCTACCACTGTCAAGTACAGAAGTGGCAGTGGAGAGTTAGCTATTCTCCCCTCCTTAGTGACAGTCACCATTTTCTGGCTGAGGCAAACTGGTGAGACCCACTGGCAGAGAGGTTGCCCGTAGCATCTCTGTGGAGAACTAAGGCTGCCACCTCCAGGGCTCTTGGATTTCGTATGAATTGCAGTCAGCCTAAAAACTAAGACCTGACAACACAATTTACACTGTCTAATGCTTTACGGTACCCAGAGGAATTCTTTATGCACCTTCAGAGGCCAATAAACAGGCTAATCATTTCTCAATTTGATTATTATGCTATCAAGACCAGGGCAGGATATACTTCAGGATGTCATAAGAAACAAAGATTAAGACGACAGGCGGCATGTTCTTCCCCAATGTCAGTACTATCAGTACAACCCAACACATCCTAATTATCACACCACCTCACAAGGACAACTGCAATTAACAGGGCTGATGAGCCCAGTGGTGTTTAGCACATAAGTCTCTGAGGCCGGGGCAGGTATTTGCTGTGAAAAGACACAGCTGTAGTATTCCATATACCAGGGATCAAGACAGTCATGCTCTTGTCTCTTTCAATCACTTGATTCATGCATCTTCAAGAACAATATCTATAAAATAGCTGAGCAACACTCCTTCCCATTAAAGTGAATAAATCACTGAGAATGATCCTTCTTAGAAACAGCAGCCTAAAATAAAATTGAGAGATCCAGATTTTTTTTTTCAGATGTGTATGGTGCCATTCTTCAAAATGGCCACAGAAGCAACTTCATATGTGGCTTTTGTTAATGTACAGATTGGTATTGCAGGCAGAAATTAAAAGAAAGTACAAGATCATAAAACTTCTGTCTACTTTCTCCTCAGGCATTTTTTAAAGGCAGAAGACAAGAAAAATGTATATGTCTAGTATTCTTTTACCCAATTCAAATAAATTGAAAAAATCAGCCAGCTAAATAGTAAGCACAAAACCCAAAAGCTTACTAAAAAGAAAAATTGATTATAGGACTGAAATAATCAAAGATGAACAAATACAGAATCACAGAAAAATTAGCTTGGAAGAGACCTCTACAGCACTGGTCTCCAAACTGTTTTGATTGCACACCCCTACCAGGAAAAAAATTTTGAGCATGTACCCCCAATATATGTATATTTACTTATTTATAAATTATATGCATGTACTACTGAAGTTCTAACATTTTCTTGCTGCACTCCAATGGATTGTCTTTCATACCCCCTGCGCTGTGCACACTCCACTTTGGAGACAACTGCTCTAGAGATCATCTAGGCCATTGCCCTGCTGGATCAAAGTAAAAATAGGTTGTTTGAGGACCTGTCCAGTTTAGTTTTAAAAATCACTGAAGATGAAGATTCCCCACTCTCTATGGACTGGAAAGTGCTCACAGTTCTCACTGTTGAAAACATTTTTCATATGTCAAATTAGTACCTTCCTTGCTGCAAATTCTGACCATTACCTCATCCTTTCACTGTGCAACACAGAGAAAAGGCTGGCTCTGTTTTCTCTGTAACTCTATCTGTAGCTGAACAGAACAATTTGATCTGCCTTCTCTTGCTTAGTCTTTAAGGTGAAACAAACCCAGTTCCCTAAGCTTCTCCTTGTGTCATAGGCTCTAGCCCCCTAAATGTTTTAGTGTGTTGCTGTGCTGGACTCTCTCCTGTTTGTAAATACCTCTTGTACTAGGAAGGACTCATAACTGGACAAAATATTCTAGATGCAACCTCAGAGGTGCCAAGTCAAGGGAGATAATCCGTTCCCTTGATGTGCTGGCTGTGCTCTTACAAATGCAGCCCAGCCTGCACAGTCAACCTTCATCACCAAAAGGGAGCACTGCTGACTCATCATATGGCCCCTCCTGCCGAGTTGCTCCTTAGCCTACCCACGCCAACTGTACCAATGCACAGTTACCCTGTCCCAGGGACCCCCCTTCATATTTCTTTGTTGAACTTCATGAGGCTCGAGTCAGCTCATTCCTTCAGCCTGTTGAGATCGCTCTGAAAGGCAGCCCTGCATATCACCTGGTAACGACAGTGTGGCTTTACTACTGAGCCTGGATACGACTGCATCCTGTGCCATCATCCATGTTACCGATGAACGCATTAAGAAGTATCAGACCCAGTATCAAACCCACCATCCATAAATAGGTGCCAGTTAAATTTCAACCAACTGACCTTTTAAGTTCCATCAAGCCAGCCAGTTTTTCATCCACCTTGTAGCCCACAAATCCAGTCCCTGCCTTCCTTAAGGATATCTTTCTCCCCATATCTACCACACTTCTTCCAATTTCTCCTACAAATATGGAAGTCTATGCTGAAAGCAAGATAAATGACAATAACTGCTCTCCCTTCATCCATAAAGCCAGTTATTTCATCACTGAGGCAAAGAGGTTGGTTAAGTATGATTTGCCCATAGGAAATCCATGTTGGCTATTCCCAATCACAAGCATCAGTTTCTATTTCTCAACAAGCTTTGGCTTTCCGAATTTCATCCCTGCATGCCCAGGGAATGTCTCAATACTGCTCCTTAGCAGTCCATCCCTTCCTCTACCTACTACACTTTTAGTGTACCTACTACCTCTTTTAGTATGAGGTCAGGAGTCTTCTGTTCAAACTGGCCTCCTGCTATGCCTGCTTGTTTTCTTGCATATGGGGATATTTCTTGTGCTTTGAGGAAGATGCCCTTGGAGACCAAGCAGATCTCCTGTGTTCCTCTGCACTTCAGGGCAACCTTACACAGGATCCTGCCTGCCGGTTTCCCAAAGAAGCCAAAGTCCACTCTCCTGAATTCCAGGATTTTTATTTTGTTATTTGCCATCCCCACTTCCTTCAGGGTCTTAAACCTTATCGTCTCATGGCCACCGCAATGAGGCTGCCACTGACTATCACATCCCCAACCAGTTTCTCTTTATTCATGAGTAGCAAATCCAGCAGAATGCCTCTCCTAATCATGTAACCTACTACTTACATCAAAAAATTGTCTCCAACACAGTCCAGAAATCTCCCAGATTGCTTGTACCCTGGGTAGTTAAAGTGTATTTCAAAACATCTATTTTTAACTCCCTCCCTCCCATTTGTTTACAATTTCACATTAACAATTGTTCCTCAGCACCGATCTAACCACCAGGAAGTCAGAAAAATGCTCAAGAATCCTTTATGTTGTTGGGATGATTTTTAGCCTGAGAAATCTATTGGGTAAACTGTGATTCCTTACGGTGCAGCATGGATCAGAAATATTATCTTGTGGCCTAGGTGGCTGGCCCCAAGCCATTATCAACAGACACCAAAAGCACAATGCAACATCTTGTGGACTGGACACAAAGTTGAACAAGGTGGCAAATTCCTACAAACACGTAAGATGAAAAAGAGGACTGTCTTGTGAGCAATTCATTAGCAGAAAAAATAAAAGGTAAGTTTTCAGCAAATAATTTAAGCAGTTCTACTCTCCACTTCATTGGAATGAACTTCAGCTTACCTATTTGCCGTATTATTTCAGATTAACTTCAGCTTACCTATTTCCCGTATTATTTCAGTTCACAGGAGTTTCTTTTAAAAACAAATCAAAATGAAACAAAGAGGATATAATCTTATGTTTAGTTGTCAAGACCTATTTATAGCATGTAAGCCTAATGATGAAAAAGTTGGCCAACTATGTACCCTGTTGTTCCAACAGAAGAAAGTGCTGGCAGCTTTAATAAAAATCAGACAAAGCCACACCTGTTTGTGGTTCACGACTGCAGGAATTCTGACCTTGATTCTGTGCCATAGTCCCTTTACACTGCTCCACCAGTATAAAGGGACTGTGATCCAGGTGGATCTATTTGGTAGGCAGGGAGTCCTGATTCTCTAAGGCTCTATAAGGGCTCTCAGAGCAGTTCTCAAGGTGACGTATGGTATGATGAAAAAGTAACTGATAATTGACACATTGACAGAGAAAGGAAGATTTCCTAAAGCTGCCATAAGAAGCCATATCGTTGAGCTCATCCCCACAGAATTATGCTGTACGCTTGAAATAAACCGGGGAAAGAAAAACAACACACAACCTCTGATCCTAAAAAAAGCCATTTATCTAAAGCTCGATCAATACCTGGTCCAGTGGAACTTCCACACGAGTATCTTCATCTTCCTGCACTTCAGCTGCCCCCCACATTTCAGACTGCTCTTCTCTGGCTTTGTAAATACCTTCACCTACAATGGGAAAGATACAGAGTGGAAGGAAGTGAAATGCAATTGTGACACTGTGTGGCACAGCTACTGAACTGCATTCAATTTTGTTTCTGAGAGCAGGTTTCTGAGCTGATCCACCATTCACTATACAGTCCTTTTAATGAAGTTTTCAGTGTCCCATTGTTGTTAATTTGTCTTCCTTTCCTTTTTAATAACAAATACTTACATGCTACACCATTTGGGGAAAGGAAAGGAAACAGAGAATGAACAAAGCCCTGGATCTGAAGTTCCTTCACTTTTGGTGAAGGTCAGGAGTAAATCTGAACTTAATACATTACAACAACATATTACTTCTATTTCTATAGTCATTTATAGTACCCTCTAGTAATTAGCATTATAACACACATCTAGCAAAAATCTCAGGCTCTGAATCAACAGTAAACATGGTGAACCAGGAAAGGAGTAAAAGATTAACAGAAACAGTGCTATTAATGCTAATCCCTACCCTTGGGCACGTGCAAGTAGAATTATACCTGAAACTTCACATCCACATTAAAAAAAAGCACATACTTCTAGCTAACAAGGTTAATGTTTACAATGATGTTCAATTTTGCAAAGATTTTACACCACTTAGAGTAATTTTTTTCCCCCAAGTGTAAGTAATAACTAGGGGTCTTCGAGGTTTCTAATGTGGGTCTTTCAGTATCAGCTAACTAGGAGAGTGAAGACAGGTACATACAGAAAACAAACAATTTCCAAGTGACACACATTCCTCTCTCCCTTCCCCCCAAACTGAAAACAGTCCAGAAATTAAAAGCACAGGTTACCCCACATCATCTCCCTCTCTCTCCGTCTACCTAGGAAAGACAGATGGTCCTATGTTGACATGTTCATATCCAACATAATAGGTAACTACACTAAGAAAGAGGAAAAAATATTGTGCTGTTTTGGATTGTCTCTTAATTCTTCATAAAAGGATGTGAACTTGATAATATCAACAGACCATGCAAACTGATCTACATTGCTGGACACTGGTAAATAAACAGCCCTAGTGAAGCACTGAACCATTCACAGAACCATTGAGAAAGAGGAAAAAGAATGGATAAAAAAGCAAGACTTAGGGAAATCCGGAGTCCACCTGCATGAAAAGTCAGCATTGACTACTCTGGAAATTAGTTTTCCTGTTACTTTCTCGTCACTATGAGAGCCAAGGAAGAGTTTACCCTGGGAACAAAATTCTGAGGCATACCATACCACTGAAAGTGGCTAACTGGAGGGGAGATGCCAGCTCATCCAGATGACCTTAGATGTCTGCTGACAGGCCACTGACCAGAGCACCAGAAATGAAAACCATTCTCACAGTTTGAAATGAAGTGGCAGAAATGGGGAAGTCTATGGAATATCACAGTGATATTCCAGAGTGGTACTGCTGGTTGCATCTTAGGTGAGAGAGTTTCTGATAGACATAGCAGTTTGCATGCCTGACCATCAGTCCTGCTGGAACCTCCCCACCCCACCACAAGATCTATATTACTTGTCCTCTGAAAGTACCGGTGCTGGAAATACCACAGGGTTCTTAGCATCATTGGTTGGATTTGTATCCTAAACATCTCACACATCTTGAAAAAGGTCCCATCTTCATAGTTAGCATGGAAATAAGCAATTTTTTTTCTTAATTTTCTTCTTGTGTGGATTATTAAATATAATGTTGTAGTATATTCCATTGAAACCAACTAAGGACACCCAATATTTGCTCGCAGTATGATAAATCTTGGACAATCTACGTGTACATATCTCATTACAGACCCCCTTTGCTGAGACAGGTTGTTCTGACAAATTAAGCAGTAAGAACATGGAGTGGCTGAGAGTAGCAACAAAATGCATTTGAATGTATGTACTTTTTCAAATAATCAATGCACTTCACACTTCCCATTTTTCTGAGCTCTCTAAGGGACAGAAAGTTCTGTTTCTCTTACCTGATATTATCATTGTTGCCTCTCATCATAGACATTCGATTGAGATATAGATCACCACCATATTCTGAGAGGAAAATGTAATGTGTTCCTTGAAAACCACCGTGATGACTCTCCTAACTCAAGGCCTTCCCTTAAGTACCTTCAGAAAATAACCTTGTCCTAGATTCCTTGGGTCACTGAACTATAAAAAGTCAAATCAGTTTCTGAGAGAACTGCATTTAATATCACCACCATTCCATTTAGATCCTGTAATAACACCTTTGCCTTCAAGATCCCCAGGTCTTTCAAGCAAAATGGGGATTGTCTGGCCTCTAGAGATAAAAGAACTTCGGTGCAGAGATAATTCTTGTCAGGTTTTTCTCTGGCAGGGCAAAAGAGGAGGTACAAGGGAAATGAACCTGTGTTGGCCCTGGAGGTCAAATCCACAAAATTCATCTCAAGAGTTGAGGATTCTCAATTTTAAAGCACCTCTCCTTAGAAGAATAAATCAGCCTCAGGGCTATGCTGAATAACCCAGCAACTAAACTCCATACAAGGAGACAGACATGCAGGATTTTCAAAAACCTTAATCATGAAACCAGGAGGGAGTGAGGGAGAGGGAATTAGACAATACATTTCTATTATTTGTGTTATGCAACCAACTTTCCCATTCAAAAGAGTGTACCCAAAAAGCTAGCGTGGGATTTCCTCCAAGCACTTTCTAACAGGTGTTTGCTCAGAAAGCTGGTCATAAATGAAAAGGGATTAGTTGAAAAGAGCTCTGCACAACATTCCAGCATCTCTCAAGGATAACATTGTTCATTGCCTTGCATGGAAAGCACTCTAAAGCGAAATAGCATTCCTG